GAAGTAAGCCCAATATATGAATACTTCCTCCTCTTTTATAGAATAAATATGGCCGCTCTGAACTGCATCGAGATCAAATCTTCTCACATACCATTTACCTTTAAAACAAGAAATTTAATTGGCTGCTTATGGCAGATCCAATCTGATTGGTGTGACATACATACATCTCTCACTCACTCACTCACCCACCCACCCACCCACTCACTCACTCACTCACTCACTCACTCACCCACTCACTCACTCACTCACTCATCCATTGACCCGTCCATCATGACATACCCCGACAGGCCGACTAAGAGGTATTTTTTTTTCCCAAAAAAATAACCCAAAAATGATTTCCACTTAATAGCAATTAGGAATGTGTCATTTTATTATATTGAATGTTTCAGTTGAAAAAGCAATCCGCCGAAACTAATTCGTAAGCGGTTAGCGCTCCGTATTGCGAAATTCAGACTGTTCAGGGAACCAATCACTGTTCCTTCCTTCATCCAAGACCACGTGATGAATAGTTGTCACTGAACTAGCCCGAGCTTCCTATTGAGGAAACACAGTGATGATCTAAGTGGTTCGTATTGCAAAACTAAGAACACTTACGACCAATTCAAAACTTAGGCAAGAGTTATTTTTTTTCTGTGAAGTTTTGGAGATAGAAACATTCATGGTAGAGTAATGATTTGGTTAATTTGACAAGTTTTTTTGGTTGCGATGTTACATCGGTCATGGTAAGATAGCTAANCCCGTCCATAACATACCCCAACGCGCCGACTAAGAGGTATTTTTTTTCCAAAAAAAATAACCCAAAAATGATTTCCACTTAATAGCAATTAGGAATGTTTCATTTTGTTATATTGAATGTCAGTTGAAAAAGCAATTCGCCGAAACTAATTCGTAAGCGGTTAGCGCTCCGTATTGCGAAATTCAGACTGTTCAGGGAACCAATCACTGTTCCTTCCTTCATCCAAGACCACGTGATGAATAGTTGTCATTGAACTAGCCCGAGCTCCATATTGAGGAAACACAGTGATGATCTAAGTGGTTCGTATTGCAAAACTAAGAACACTTACGACCAATTAAAATGATGCTTTCATTTTGTACCAGTTTGCCATACAATATGTGACGACTTCAGACCGATCAGGAAGCCCTATAACCTGTCTCTAAATCATACCAGTAACAAATTTCAAGGAAGAAATTTAAGAAAAATGAGACCAAATAAACAGGAACCATAATCAAAGGATCTTAAATTATAATCGGGGGCATAATCACTGAAAGTGTTTTTGGCCAACGGAAGAAATATTCAGCTGGGAAACCAATTAAGTTCAGCACTTGAATTTATCGTTGGACACCCCCTATGCTCAGGATCTAATCTAGGAAACACAAAGTTGAAAAACCTGTGTTGCGCAATTGAT